TTTGATGTGAGTATTTATGACATTTTGATTAAATAAACAGCTTATTTATCCTACACTTTATTGTTAAACCATATGTTACCACAACAGTTGACCAAAAGGTTGAATGTCATTGATTGTCAAGCTGAGTATATCTGTTTAAATTATTGCAGTGGTTGTTGTGGTAATCTGCGTTTTTACTTTTATTATTTTTCATTATCATGGAACATGATTTACTGAATGTACATTTATTAGCTGTTGGTATATATAGCCTATGAGTTATTTTTGATAAATTGATAATAAACCATCCCTCCATTTAGCAGAAAGCACTGACCACAAGACATGGGGTATATCTTATTTTTTCTTGAACACTTTCATGGCAAATCTTGATATTTATAAGGTGTGGTTCACAACTTCACACTGAACACAGAAGGTGCAATCTAGCTACCTTCGGCAAAGTATATTTGCTAAAAGCGTCAGAAGTATGAAGGCAGGGTGTTGTCCTCACCCACAACAAATTTTTTGAGAATTGGTTTCCATTTCCAATAATCTAGCCATTAGGCTCTGAAACACATTGTATATTACAAAAATGGTTGTCTGCAATCTGCAGCATTTCTCACCTGAAACTTCTAATCAGAATTTTCTACAGAGTAGTTCTAGCTATGTACCAGTATGTGTCAACTATTAACACTATCTAAATTATACATATAGTGAATATGCAGTATGCTTACACGGACAGTATAATAATCATTATGTTAGTATTGATTCCAAAATATATCTAAATTCAATAGTGCATAACCAATGGTAATTTAATGATGAGATTTAAACCTCGCAGCTGCGTGGCTGTATGCATAATGTTCAACCTAGGGCATATAGCTGGCTAAGTTATGGTTGACAAAAAAACTCCATTAATTTTTGGGGTGTGAATAATGATGTGTGACCTACTCATCCCCAAAGGAAATGTTTTTTTTAGGTTTTGGATTAGGTTGTTTATTGTTATTATAAAATTTATATTTTTTAACTGAATGTACATTTTACATACAGCAGAAGAAAGATGACCTTTTACATACGGTATTTTTATGAGAGTCAATAAGTACAGGTACATGCAACTAGACATGTAAACTATAATCAAATACATACTTAAGTTAAGCCTGATTTATGACAAAGCAAATATTTTAGGAATACTGGTTAACTTAATGCCAGATAGACCTAGAGGAAAGGGCTGTGGGGTGTGGGAAAGTGCCAATAGAGAGAAACTAGTTCTTCTGACAATAGTCCAGATCAACAATATCAGTCAAAATATAGCTATCAGAAGCCATGTAAAAGGAATAATTCAGTCTAGCGGGGTTGTAATCAATTATCTGAATTTATTCAAGCAAATTATAAATTAAATTAATTTAAGCATTCCTATAATATTCTTATGAAGTGGAATCTTCAATGGGGATATAAAGAGCTCTATTCCAAATGTGATAAACACCATTTGCTTAGACATTTTCCAATACTATGTGAAAGTATATTGTTGTTACCTATGTTTGTCCATACCAACTTTTTCTTGAGTAAACTCTACAGACTACAGTTTGCAAAGAAAACGGGGACTATTAAAATGGGTTCATCCATGTGTCAGGACTGTCAAAACTTTTTGAAAAAAAATAACTTGGCTTCTGATTGAGGTAGAATGTCATCTATTTATGCTAGGTTTCCACTATCACGACTCCCGCTACGATTGAAATCGTGATCGTGGTGTAGTCGTGGTGATCCTATCAGGTCTTATCATATATTGAGGTTAGTCATAGCAATCATGTTGATCATATCAAAACATATCTGCACATACCAGATCATAAACTCAATAGGATCAATCCTATCGTAACGAAACGCACAGCAGTGGGAACCTAGCATTATTTAAGAATAAAGTTGGGGAAATCAGCCCAGCGCCATTTTCCTCATTAGAGCTGGACAAAAAGAAGAAACAGCCATTTTAGCTTTCGGTTTTATAGGTGACTGCTGTAAATACCAAAATATGTAATAGTTTTATACAACAGTATTATAATTGGTCACATGTACGATACATTGTACTCTTCTTGCACACAATGTGTGGTGTTGCAGGCTGGATTGTAGGGAGAAATCAATTTTACATCAAGTTAAATCCATCCCTCCCCTCATGGGGATCACGTGGCTAAGTGGGTAAGCTGCTGGCTCGCTAGCCTGGAGGTTGGGTGTTCGATCCCTGCATTGGCCGAGAAAGTTTATTCAGATTTTCCAGCGTGGTTTCCCCTTGTCAGTGATGCAGGACGGAGGGCCTGACAAGGACAGCATGCTGTCTAGTCGTTCGGATGGGACGAAAAACCAAGGTCCCGTGTACATTTTGGTGTGCACGTAAAAGATCCCTTAGCAGTTGGAATTCAATATAAGAGTAGGCCATAGTGCTGCTGCCCCGGCAAAATTTCCCTCATAGCACACTGTATGGCGTATGCCCATCTTCATTAGCCCAGTTTAGGAGCAGAACAGTAGGACGTTAAACCCCATTTCATTTCATTTCATTCCCTCCCCGCATTCATAAAAATAATTACCGGTATTTGATCATAGATTACATATAAAACTGACATGACACCAGTGGCTTTCAAACAATCTAGTGTGACATTCCGTCACTTATTGCATTTTCGAAAAATATTTCATATACTTTTGCTTATTCAGTTGATATTATTTGTTAATAATTATAGACAACCACAAAGTTATACCTACTTCTACACCCATGAATGGCGATTCGATAAGATACCATATATATATGTCTTAGATTTCTAAAGAATACTATCATTAGGTGATAAAGATATGAAATACACTGTAGTTGCAGAGCTGAATGTGGTTATATAAGAAATTCTTGACCATGACCTTGATTATGTAGTATTGATGGTGTCATTGTCCAGTGCCAATCGGTAACTGGACAGTTCTGATTCCTCACATTGCCAGACGTGTTTATGTCAGATGAAACTTTTCTATTCATAGAAAAGCTTGGCTTATCTGCTGTATTTTAGTGTCTGATTCAAGATAAAGGATATCAGAGACAATGTATTGATCAGATGATAAAAGTCAGGGCTTAATCTTTATTTACCAGCTTCCAAACATGTTCATGTAAAGGTTAGACAATATTTCTTCTCTGTATTGGTTTCTCGTTGGTAGTCATTCGAGTTCAGTAGTAGGAGTGTAATATTCCACCATACTCATACATACACATCATTCAGACAAACTTGGCACCACAGTTTTATTTTCAGCCCCCACGATGTATTGATTCATTAATAATACTTGAATGATAAAACTTAAACTTATTATTTATTCTTATAAACAAACTATGTGTAATGTGGTACACAATGATATTGTCTAAAAGTATTTGTCCAAAAATTTCTCAATTACTAATTGCTGAATTCATGAGGTAAAGAATTTCTTAAAATATTTAAATACTTAGTTTTGAAGTGCTCTGTCCCAAAACACTCTTTCAGATTTATAATAAAATCGTACATTTTTCTGTGAACAATACGGAAGTTGTATATGAATGTTTTTAAAACATTATTAGACCTACATTTAAACCTTGTCAAGGAAATTGATGAGGGTTCATTATTCTTAGATAAATCAAAGAATGAAAGAAAATTTTGAAAAAGGAATCATCTGAATGGCATTTATTGTCAGTGTAAAGCAGGGGCGGATTGGCCATCGGGCGATCACCCGAAGGGCCGTTCGGACAAAAAATGAAAAAAATAATTTTGTTCAATTCGTTTAAAAAACTTTTTCTGCTGAACATGAACATCTGAACATTATATGGGGGGTGGGTATTGGACCGGCCATGGAGCGATGGTGATCATGTTGTATGTGGCCGGTGGCTTTAACGTGCCGCCACACCATCACTGGAGTCTGGAATGGGCTGGTATAATAGACTTTCTGGGCCAAGTGTGCTGGGTGTGGGCCGGAATTCGGAATCCTGCAATGGGAATTCTGAATTTCATCCGAAAATTTCATCGGATTCACCCGACATTGTCGTCCGATATGATAATTTCACAGGTTGATGGTTGTAAATTACTTGCAGGTCGGGGTTTTGGCCTAAATTAATCGATTTATGAGATACATTATTTGACAGAGATTATAATCAGATATGGCACCAGATCGCATATTTGGGGTTCATTTCTCAAGATTTTCCAGGGGGAGAGCCCCCATACCCACCGTCCAGATTACGCAGAAAGTGAAAGGATCATCTCTGACACGGGCGCCCCGACCGGTTCCCGACCCCAATCCGCCCCTGCTGTTCAGATTATTTCTAGGTGTATGGATGGACGGTATAACACGGTAAATTACCTTATCAATCCAGCCTATTATCAGTGATATTATCAATGATAATCGGGTTGAGTGGTAGATATACACTCAGTACACTATATTAATTTTGGAATTTTGAATATTATTCACCATACCTTGATGTCTGATTAAGCATATTCCTGGTCTGATGTTTTCGGACATTTGGAAAATAGCATAGAACAATTCCGGAATATACAGGCGAAATCCCAGCACTCGTGTAGGCTTGGTTTTTAACTGATGGAGAATTTAGAAATAAAATTTTACAACTTGACAATACAAATGTAGAAAAAATTAAATTGTTTGCGATGTGAGGATTTGTATGTAACGTTTACATAAACTCAGTGATTCACTGTCAGTTATTTCCTTAAGGCTTCAAAAACCAGTAAACAGGAGATATTTCTTCAGGCAAACATTATAAAATGGAGTTTTGTGATGAAAATTTGTCTTTTTGTGACAATGGTGAAACTTGCAATTTACATGTAATATATCATTCAGTTAACTGTTGTACTAATTAGCATGTTGAGCTGCAAATGGACCATCTATTAACCTTTGCATAGTCATTTGTGATCAGGTGGTATAGTACTGTGTGCATAAGGAAAAGGGGAGAACTATCAATGTCTGTAGTCACGTAAGCATTCACATAGTACCTGACAGTTAAATAATGTTAATGAAATGTGTGTATAGGTACTTTTACTTCATATAGGCTACTCGAGCAGTTGAGAGAGAGATATATAATGTATGTTTGTGTGGTGTTCACCTGTGATAACATTGTTAGCTTCATCCTGTAATGATTGAATCTAGAGGACTGCAAGAGCTATCATTGTGTATTCAAGATCAAATGAAAATATATAGCAGAGGTAAATATTTTATATTGGTCGTGAATTAATGTAAGTTCATTGGATGTCATTGTTGCTGAATGAGGATTTAGTATTAAATGTAGCTTAATATATCCTACGGGTTCCCACATTTCTCAAATACAGTGTTTGAAAACTCAGTTCCTTAATTGAGATGAAAACCAAAATACATGTAGTGCGTGTGTATTATAAGCCAAGTCAGTATATAATTGTCAAAATATAAACATTAAGTAATTAATTTTTCCTGGCCAAAAATCTCAACCTGAGTACCGCACTATCAAACAGAATCATCCTTGATTGAGCAGGTATTAAATTTGACATTTTTGTTTACCCAATATACCAGAAAATTGCAAAATTATACTTGAAACATTTATTATCTATTTGAATATAATTTTCTATGTCATAACTGTTGTTAATGGGAGTGGGAAACATATTAACCAGTGCCTCTGATGTCAACATTGTTGTAAATCAAGTGAACAGCTTTAATGTATTGACTGATGAACTCTGTCCAATGTATATGTCATCATTAGGTATTATTGCATTGATGAATAAAAAAAGAAAGAGTTAATCTACACAGTAAATTTTGACATGGATGTTTTTCCCAGAAACTGTCAAAAATAGTAACTTTGCCTGCTGAAAAGACCTGATTACTGCCCAAACATCTGTTCATTTTACTTAAAAATGTCTTTTTGAGTTTCCCCCATGCTCCCATCCTCCCTCCAGCTTAATACTCCTGTGTCAGTATATAGGTCATTTTGTACTGAAATAAGAATATTGGTTAGTAAAAAGAGTACACACTGTATACCTATAGTGTCACAGTCTTTCAAATATAATACAGTCTATTAAATCAAATAGACTTATTATTGAATTGTTAACTTGAACAAATTTTCTCTGACAAGACACATGGTCAGCTTTTGTTATAAGCTATGTTGAGAATGTTGGACTCATTAATAGGAAATAAGATTTGGATTGGATTATACATCTAAGCAATCAATAGAAGAAAGCAGTATTTGAATATTCATTACTATATGTTATAAGGTAATATAGATTTTGAAAGACATGTATGGATTACGTCTGATTGAAATTTTATAGGTCTAGAAAAATATTGTAAACTAAAATAAAAAGGGTTGTAGTTGTACACAGCATAGAAATTAGAATTTAGATGAGCTTCCCATCCTAAGTTTTAGTAAGACCTAACTTTCCGAGGGAATGGAAATAGCCATCCACAGGCAAGGATGTTACAGGACATGAAATTCAGGATTTCAATAAGGTTCCACCTTATGACTTCCTGAAAAATTTTTAGCAAATTTTTTCTCTCAAAAACTCTGTTCTATATACTGGGTTTACACGGTTTCTGTGACAGGGGTAATAACTCTACGTATATTTGATATAGGAGGCAGACCACCATTAATTTTCCATATCTCGGTACCCACAAATTGTAGTGCCGCCTATTTTAAGATATATTTTTCTTCCTCCTTTCCTGCCATTTTGCATTCTTATCTGTATTGACTTTTTGGTGTAGAATTGATGAAGGGGTATTTAATTTCTATTTTCTGTCTGGTTTGGTGTCAGATTGAGACTTTTAAGGCAGAAGAATACAAGGAGTAAAGAGGCTTTGTTTTGTTTTTGCACTAACACAGACATGATATTCTGACCCCAGACTGCTATGAATTTCAGTGAATTGAAATTTTGGTGGTCAACCTCATACAAATTTAGTACTCTGATGATCCCATGATGTCATACTTGCTGTGCTGTAAAGCGAAGTTCGCAACGAAATTTAGGGAATGGGCTACAGCATGTAGAACACCACTGATTTAACATTGGAGTCAATGGAGAAATTAATGGTGGTCTGCCTCCTGATGTACAATTCTGAATAGTAGCTAGATTTGAAAGGAAAATGAATCTCATGGGTGATAACAATATGCTTCTGTATTGTAAGTGAAGGTCTCTGATATTGTAAAGACTTGACTTTGGCTATATAAAACTGAATGTTATAAACAGTTTATTTTCTTCAGATGTTATTTTATTATTTATTTTGTAGGATGAACGATTATGTGTCTGGCATTTAGCATCTTTACAATGTTTTATATATAATATTTATTATTATCATCATATTTGTGTTGTGAGATATATGAATAAAATAAAACACAGCCTGACATTTAACAGGAAATAGCTGCAAAAAAGGGAATAAATATAGATATTTTGAAAACAATCATTAAGTTTTATATAGATAAATTAGAAAAGCATACTTGATAATATACCAGTAAACTAAAAACTGTTTTGGAAAAAAGATTTTTGATTATTATAGTATTATTTTATTTTTAATCTCCTTAAAAAAAACAATCCTATACACCAATAGTATGGTTTTAATCAGGTGTGGTTTGCTGTTATTTTAATTATTGATAGAATAATGTCAAGAAGTAAATTAAAACAGAAGACCAATAGATAGTAATACGGGTTGAAAAGTGTTCATTAAACAGTGATTAAGACTATTATAATGAAAATCCTAGGTTAAATATCATTCTGGTTCCAGTGTGTATGGATAGAAATGAATTAACCTTCAATAGTGTCGAAGATGATAAAGATGGATGTGTGAAATCAATTGAAAAATTGTCTGAAATAGAGATGGCTATAACTTGTGGTAGAATTAATCAATTTTAATGATTTAAAACAAGTACATGTATGTCTTTTTGGAAAGACTACTATTTATCATTTATAACCTGAAAGTCTATGTTTGCCTGTCAATCTGGAATATTGTGCTTTTCTGTTTATAAATAACTGAGGAGGTTATATAAGTGGGCGTATTCTATTTAAATAACCCAGGTATTTTGTTAGAGGGTTTTATTTCAAATAAATTTCAAGGTTCACCTATTTCAATTATATTTTCTTCATTGGGAAAATTACATCAAAGATCAATAATGAATGCTATGAAAGTCACATTGTTGATAGATGTATTTTTCTACTTTTTGACATCAGTTTAAAAAGGTCCTGAAATAGCATAAAATGAAGTAAATGATGAATTATATAGAATAATTTATCTCCTTATTATTATGGCATGTTCATGTGTTGAGATAATTTCCCCCACAATATCATATTCAGTTATATTTCTAAAAGTGCATTTATCACAAGCTAAAAATAAGTTATGATGTTTAGCTGTAAAGCATTAAGGGATATAGATTAGTGCTAACATGGTATGTCAGTTTAAGGAAACTTTGAACTCTGGACATGGTATTTTTGTAAATAAGAGGGTTTTCACCTTTAAATTCCTTTTTTATCATAATTAATTGAATTTCTCACCCAATCTATCAAATTTCGGTTAATAGCTCCCCCCCTCCCAATATTTGAAAAATTAACTCCATGCGTGTTATCTGGTGCTTCTTGCAATCCCACCAGGCATTGCATCAAAATAATTATGTGAAAGCACTATTTAGATATCATTCTGTTTCTCTAACAAATCTTTCACTAAATATTATATTCCATTATTTTTCTAATTTTAATACCATGCTATTCCTGGTATCTGGCCTTTTAATCAGTTTATTTTAATATTTATCACACTATTATTATTTTATATTTTGGTGATGGATTCTTTTACTTTTTATTTGACAGGAATTTTAAGTCTATCTTCCCTTGGCTTGAAATGGACTTTTCTGATCAGCTGCAACTTTAGTGTGTCAGATCAATAACCAGCAGAGTGGATTGTTCCAAGATGGAGTTGAGTGGATGGAAGGATTGTCGGTGGAAAGAAAATCATGCATTATCCCTTATTCCACCAGTATGGGAGACGTTTCAAACTATTTATCGGGAGGTGGCCAGTTTTGTCAGCAAATTTCCATTCAAAAGACGTCTTGTAGTGTTTTTTGTTTTCCGTGGAAATGAGATAAAAGTTGATTTGGGGGATGGTGAGTATATATCCGAGTAGAAACCTAGGTTTGACTATTTTTAGAACTCCTTGCCTCTATGAAATTTTGACCTTGTGAATCAGACAGAAGTCAGAAATTATCAGAATATTAAGAATCTATTTCAGATAAAATATTTTCAGATATATCCACAATAAGTGTGAACTTAGTCCTATGTTTATCACTCTCTATTATAATGACTAATATAATTATTAGTTGTAGAGGCCTATAGAGCTGTGTTAATGTTAATCAGTTATTCTATCCCAGCAGCTCATGTATAAATGTAAACAACTAGAAGTAATATACAGTACTGTATAAGGCAATAACATCTCATAAGTGATTGATTACTTAATGCTTATTTTGTTATAAAACAATATTTAAAAGTAAGATTCTTGTCTAAAATTAGAAATATTGATGTAATGTTAAAGGCAGTGTTGTAACAAGCAAATTGAGGAAGAACAACATGACATTGTTTGTTGTCTGAGTAATTTAACCAAACACAGGGGTTTCTTTATGTCAGACATGTATTTGAATAATCTTCCAGTTTTACCCTTCACCTCTAATCTCAAACTTTATAAAAAGATTTCAAAGTATGAAACATTAATACCTAGTTGTTGACAAACAAAAAAATTGGCTTATAATCTTGATTGATTGTTAAAGGGTGATGACCCCGGTGATGTAACACGTTCCTAAAACCTGTATGGAGGAAAACCTTTCAGACGCATATAAATTTACAATCTGTGCAGTCCTTGGAGGATTAGGCATAATTGTCCACATTATTCTTCCGTTTATAACTCGATAAAATTCAAATCAAACAGTTATACCAAGCTATTAATGTTAATTATGGATGGATGAAATACACAAAACAAATTTATTATAATAAATTGATATTAAAACTGAAATATATGTCATAATGATGTCATGTTTTTGTTATTAAATAAATAAATAAGATATGATCTAATTTGAAGAGAATAATATTGATAAATGAACACAATAGATACACTTCATGTCAACCAGTGAAATATATTACGTGAATATATATGCAAAATTACAACATAAATTATTAACTATGTGAAGTTTCCAAACAGATGAGAATAATCTCCTGTCTAGTGCACAACACTTAAGAGTGACTCACTACTGATAGCAAAATGAACTCTTGGGTTTCAAAAGCTAGAGCTACTCGGCACTGACCAAGAAAGTTCCTTGGGATTTTTCAGCCTGGTTTCCATCTTGGCATTGTGAAGGTAGGAGAGCTTGTTCAATCTGTTTTACAGAGATATTGCAAAAGCCTTCTTATAAGATGACTGACCTTTATAAGTTCAAATGCCTTTTACATATGATGTCACATCACAATGTGTTGATCATTGGCTCGATGGCGCGTGCATTGTTTACATAACGTAAACTGGTTCGGGCAGAATGATGCCAGATATACTTCAAACACCTTTATTTATTTTTCTAATACTTTAAAAAAAAGTTCTAGAATTTAATTTGCAGAAGGAAAAAAAACTTAATATTGCAAGCTAATTAACCCACACCGATGCCTAGCAAATAGCCATTGCTGATCAGTGTGGCACTTGTTATGTAACAGTGTCTATCATTTGAATGATGCGAAAAATCAAGGTCATGTGTGCATGTTGTCGTACATGTAAAAGATTCCTTGGCAAAGAGAATTTGATGGAAATGCCACCCTCCGGACTGTCATAGTACACTGCATGGCATATGCTCGTCTTTACACTAATTTTGCCAGTCGATAGTTCTATTATCGGGCAGTATCCCTTAAAGGAGTTAAACCTCCTCATAACTCAATGTTATCCATAATATTCGAAATTAAAAACACAAATTAGAATTCAATATTAGACTATTTCATTCAATAAACATTTAAAAATTAGTACACAATGTTGTGTACACTATGGACATAATGGTTTCAAGCGCCATTTGTAATGAACTAAGAAAAACATATCCCAGAAGACAATGCGGAAATAATTAAAAATGGCTGATTCAAAAAGGACAAAAGTAATAATAATAAAAACCCTGTCTAGAATGGACTAAGCAGGCACAGATGATTGCCATTCAATTTGGACTGTTCACATATTTCAACGAATAGAGCTATATGTCCTTTTATAAAAGATAAATGTTTATATTAGTAATCTAGTTTGACAGGCAAAGTGTAGAGATGTTATTCAATCTGATTAAATAACATGGACATGTTAGATTATAGATATTATTAATGTCAAATTTGGAATTAATGTGAATAATTAGTCCCACACATTAATGAAAACAAATAGGCCAATAGTTAGTTGAACATGGGAATGTGTATTGATGCCTCAGGATGACCTTGTTAATGTGGAGTATTTGAAAATGATTGTAAGGGATTGATAAATTTGTTAAATAGATAAATGTTAACCCTTCGAAGATATGATGATTCTGAAATTACTCCCCACAAGTCCTAACCTAGAACTTAAAATTCCATAAATATTACAGAATATAAGACTACGAAGCAAAATATTACAGTGTCTGATATGGATAATATTACAGATGCTAGTTTGTATCTAGTTCTAAGTCTACTAGTAATACCCTTCTTATATAAAAGTTGGTATATATACCTGCAGACTGATGAGTCATAATACACACCTTTATATAATGCAAAAAACATTCCTGTATATTTTACCTTGACTTTAACCTACCAACTTTTGAGAAAAGTCTATTCTTTTTGTATACTATATATACTTTAACATGGGTTGTATTCTGTGTAGTACTTGTGTATTAGAAATGGTGTATTTGGTGTTGGTAATAGGGAATTTGGTGTTGGTAATATAATATTTGGGGTTCAATAGAGGTGGTATAAAGTACCAGTGATGTTAGTATAGAAACACCTGCAAGGACAGTGCATCATGTGATACATATTCTACAAACAAAACACTGTTAACAACATTTCTAAAATCAATAACACTGATCAACCAACTAAATTTCAATTTTCTTTGCAAGTTAACTTTAAAATGAAAATAAAACTTTAAGAAGTTATAAGCATACATTATGCAAGAGCTAAATCTGCCAATTGCAAGTCTTTCTTTAGGCCTGAAATGTTTTCTAAATTATTAATTAGACATTAATTACCTGATTCAGGCCATAATCAACTCTCGGTGGCATCAGATTTCTCTGATATTAAATAGATTAGAACGGTTCAGCCATATTTTGATTTAAAGGACAATATTGGTGCCAGTCTTTATCACATATGTGATAGAGCTGGTTAAACACATTCAAAATATAATTTTAACACAGAGATCATTGCTACGATAGCTGAGTAATACAGGTTTCCTGAATCGGAAGTGACGAACGCCAAAGGAAAACACGAGTCATCTCTCTATATAACTGACTGATGTGACGAGTGATAACGGATATACGGGCGAATTTCTGCTCACTAATAATTCCTTCGAAGACCAAAAGGTGTTGTGTGAGATTGTGAGAGGATATCTGACAATTCATAAAAAGAATTGACTGCCACTAGATAAGTGAACACGAAAGAAAAACAGAAAAATTCTGTGCATTAACATGTTTCTATAAGGTAAAGAATGAATATAAACAAGGGAATGTAAAGACTATTTCTATTTTTCTCGTGATCTCTTATCTAATGACATTCAATTACTTTATTGAATTGTCAGGTATCCTTCGAAGACCAAAAGTTGTTATATGGGACTGTAGTCCCATATAACAACTTTTGGTCTTTGAAGGAATTATTAGTGAGCAGAAATTCTCCCGTGTATCTGTTATCACTCGTCACATCAGTCAGTTATATAGAGAGATTACGCATGTTTTCCTTTGGCGTTCGTCACTTCCGATTCAGGAAATCTGTATTACTCAGGTATCGTAGCAATGATCTCTGTGTTAAAATTATATTTGGAATGTGTTTAACCAGCTCTATCACATATGTGATAATGACTGGCACCAATATTGTCCTTTAATATAAAAATGGAGGAGCGAGACTTAGCTTCGAACAACCTGTTCGGTGGTTGAAATTATTACACACGTCTTGTCAAACCTTCAAAGGCTAATATGGGGTATTTAATGGATATGCATTTGACATCATTGTGAGCCATCTTTTCAACAAGTAATTTTATAAAGATTTTTTATAAAAACACAACTTTCCATGAACTTGACATTGCTGTCACAGATGAAACATCTCTTAGTAAAATGTTCTTTTAAATTAGTGAACAGCATAGTATAACCCTTCAATGTCCTCTTTAACCAATGGGAATTTGAGGCCCTCAGGTTTCTTGTTTCCAATTGGGAGTTGTGGTGGCTCAGTTTGTAAGGCATTGGCTCGCTAACCATGAAGGTCCGGGGTTTGATCCCAGTGTTCGTGGAAAAATTTCCTTGAGATTTTCCATAGTTCTTTTAGCTTTTCAGGTGGTGCAGGACTGAGGTCGTGTGTACACATTGGCATACACGTAAAGAACCCTTAACAGGTGGAATTCGATATGTATAGCGAATGCTCGTCGTCTTGAGCCCACTCTGTGCAGAAAAGTAGGACATTAAACCCCATTTCATTTCTTGTTTCTACTGAAGATTAGAAATGTCAATTTCTATATCCGAGGAAAGACTATTAATTATTTGTTTTTTCAATAATAAAATAATCAGTTCTAGAAAGTCAGATTTAAAAAGTATGCCATGGTTTTAAAGGATGTATAATGCATGTGTTTCAACCAATCAAATCATTTTTCTTATGAAAATAAGTCTCTATAGGGTAATAAATCTACTGGTAGATATATGCTATCAGCTGTTCAGATATTGATTTTTCTACTTATATAAATATGTCCTGTACAGCATCTGTTCACATATTTCAATAAATTCAATTATTGTCACTGCATGGTAAATAATACAGCACCCTTTCCTGTGATAAATTAATGGATACTAGGATAGGATGGTTGTTGTCGGCTCTTTATATTGTGATTGATAGTGGAAAAAGTAGAATAGAAAGAGGTACTAATATTTTATGTTAAAGATGAGAAAGTGGTTTGAAAAAAAACTTTTGATCATTCTAAAAATATTATTTGGTAAGTCATATGTGATGATAACCGTTTTTCGTTTTGATATGCTTTATATTGTGATTTACAATGGAAAAAAAGGCATAAAGATGTACCAGGTACTGATAGGTATGTTAAAGATGAGAAAGTGGTTTGAAAAAAGCTTTTTATCATTCTAAAAATATGATTTGGTTGATCAATCTGTGAATTTAATTGTTGGAACATCAATTTTGTTATGCCCAATAATTATTCGCATACCAGTTTAAACAATTTTAGATTTGACATCCAAAATAGCAATATGGTCATCTAAGGTAATCATTTGTAGGGGGCTAGTTAAAATACCGTAACCAGCTTAGGTTCTTATTGCTGTTGCCAGTTCATCATACAGGTTTTTTCGTATTGATAGATTATAAACACAAGATTCAGCTGATTACAGAACTTTTTCTAGATACAGTAAATAACAATCATGACAACAATATCCATTGTTGTATAATAAGTAGTATAAAATCAAGAGTTGACATAAGTGTAGCCTGTTATCAGTATCTCCTACTTACTTCATGGGTCCACCTTCATATTTATATTCTTGATGGTGTTACCCCCAGATACATACAACATAACTAATATAAATATGACAATTTAGATTAAAAGAATACAAGGAAGATTATAGACCTAAACTATACATTTTGTTCGTCAGGTTTGCCCCAATTTCACGAAATTCTAACTCAACCAACATTATGGTGTAATGGTGATATATTCAAACGATTTTTTTAATCGGATAAAAATTGTGACCGCAAAGGGACCACAAGGTGAAATCACGATTTTTTGTACAATCCACAAGCTAAAAATGTGATTTTTCGTACAATCAGGGGCCATAATCCATGAAGTTTTAGATGATACATGCCAGTATAGAAAGGAACCGAGATTTGTGGGAGGTAGACCTATATTTCAAGTTTTGTCAATCAAAATCAGATAAAAATTGTGACCTGTAGAGTGTCCACAAACAAATTGTGGATGGACGGACAGGGGTGACAGCATAATGCTTCCACAAAAAAATCCACATGAAAATGTGGGCATATAAAAATATATGTTTGACACACCAGTATAAAACAATTTCTTACAACTTACTTAATACCCACATAATAGAGTAAGAAAGTCTATTTATAATATTCCAAAGGGTATAGATACAAATGTAAGAATTGTTAAAGATACTATCTTGCGTACAAACTGTGTGATTTGACTAAAAACATATTGTAACTAATTAATCTATCAAAAACTTGCTTCAAATCCCTCTTAAAACTTTTGTATTCGCGGGGAGATACCCCAAGATATGAAAAAATCTGTTTTTAGAAGCCATGTTTGTCACATAACATATTGAAGGAGGGTCCATTTTTCAAAATCTATTTGTCATTACTTACTGTCCATTTAATACATCCACCCCTCAGTGTTCCCAAAACTGCCTAACCATTCCAGCTAGCATACAATAAGCCGTCGGACAAGCAAGCCGTCAGGTTGCCAGTTAGAGATACACTGACATTTTTGCCCAGTGCTTGCCCCATGGGTGTTTTTCGGGTAATCAAGTATTTTTCTAGTAAGATGGGGCGTCTATACTTTCCATATATACCAAATTTGCCATACTGATATTGGAAATAACCACCCGATAAATACTTTTGTGACAATGTATCTTTAATGCTTCATAACACATATTCCTATTTAAGAAGCTGAGGATCCTCTGGCCATCTTGAATTCATGAAAACTGGATGTTTTGACTATTTTCATATTCTTTTACATTTCAGTTAAAGCTGCTGGTATAGTATGTGCTTTAGGTATAGGATTTAGCGTAGGTACATTCCTTATCTATAAGCTCTACTCAAATTATATCCGTCCAGCTTTAAACAAACCATCGCCACCTCCAGAGAAGATTGACACAACTTCTGAAGATGAAGACTGCTACATTTTTGTGGTAAGTAGTGATATCCATTTGTGTTAAAACCAATTCTTTATGCAGATGTTAGATGACAGTCTGGTCGGCATTGGCAGTTCATTAAAGGACAATATTGGTGTCAGTCATTATCACATATGTGATAGAACTAATTCAACACGTTCCAAATATAATTTTAACTCAGAGATCATTGCTACGATAGCTGAGTAATACAGGATTCGCGAATCGGAAGTGACGAACGCCAAAGAAAAACACGAGACATACCTCTATATAACTGGCTGAAGTGCTGACTGATAACATACATGGGCGAATGTCTGCTCACTAATAATTCCTTCGAAGACTAAAAGTTGTTGTGTGAGACTGTGAGAGAATATCTAACAATTTATAAAAAAGAATTGACTGCCAGTGGATAAGAGAACACAAAGAAAAACAGAAAAAAAGTCCGTGCATTACCATGTTTTTATAAGGTAGGGGAAAGCGGGGTTAGTCCGACCCCATTCATATCTCGCGCCCACTCGGCCAAACCTCAGCAGATTCCAGTACCCTACATCTAGCCTCGACTGTATGACGAAGTCTGCCATTGGGACTACTTTCAAGTTCCGGATTACCAACGCCGTTGTCCATGACGACGCATTTAAAGAATGTTTTACCATACAAAGATTTCAAAGTCTGAAGCTGTTTTTCTTTCAAGTTTATACTATTTCCTTTAGACACGGACCAGTTTGAACTGAAAAGTCTACATACGCTTCGAACGACGCAGTTTTGAGAACTTCTTTCTAAAAGCGGCAAGTTTTCCTAATAATACCCCCGTCAGACCGGGGTAGCGTCCTTACTTCGCTGCTACGGCGATGGAAAATAGTTTTAGAGCGCGTTAAGATCGCCATAAGCGTACTGGAAACGCCAGCTATCGTGCTGTAGTCACCATGGTCGCCAATGATCGCTGAGCCACCGCATTTATTTTGAGCATGTTCAAAGCAAACGCCAAGTTTGTAGTTTTTGGGGACATTTTCGCGCGTTGTGTTCACGTTTGCCGACAACCTTGTGCATTTTCTGGTCGCAGAGGCGCAGTAAGGACGCCACCCCGGTTTGACGGGGGCATAAGTAAACCGGTGCCGCATCGCAATTGTATAGGCGTAGGTACATATCACTTACTGTCATACAGCCGAGGCTTGATGTTCGCCCATTCGGACATGGTGACTTTGAGATGAAATTACTTGTATACGCCTGTCAATAAAACTATTTAATGTATGCCGTAAATTAACCAACTCCACTGTCTAATCTAGTGTGGTCTGCGGCAGTGTTTCTCAACCTTTTTGTGCCAACGGCACACCTTGAAACACATGATAAAAGAGCAACACACCTGACTTAATATATATGAAAAATTGATTTTTTTTTGCAAAATAAAAAACATGGCAAATCATAGACGGCATACAACTGTAGCCACAGACTAGTCATAGACACATAGTATGGCTCAAACTAAACGGCACACATAGGAAGATCTCACGGCACACCTGTGTGCCGCGAAACACTGGTTGGCAATCACTGGTCTACGGTAACGTAGCTTCAAAAGTTACCGAGATATGTTGGTTTCATTAAAAATGGTGCGAACTAGCCCCGCTCTCCCCTATAGAATGAATATAAACAAGGGAATGTACGGACTGTTTCTATTTTTCTCGTGTTCTCTTATCTAATGACATTCAATTACTGTATTGAATTGTCAGCTATCCTCTTACAGTCCCATATAACAACTTTTGGTCTTCGAAGGAATTATTAGTGAGCAGAAATTCGCCCATGTATCTGTTATCAGTCGGCACTTCAGCCAGTTATATAGAGGTATGTCCCGTGTTTTCCTTTGGCGTTCGTCACTTCCGATTCGCGAATCCTGTATTACTCAGCTATCGTAGCAGTGATCTTATATTTGGAATGTGTTTAACCAGTTTTATCACATATGTGATAATGACTGGCACCAATATTATCCTTTAAGCAGATACAGTAGTAGGAGGACCTGTCTACTCATTCCATCTTCAACTGTAATTATAATTATGACGATGTAATGAGTATGTTATTCATAATAATTTTTATACTTTAGTTTGCAATTGAAGCCTTTGTTTTTAGCCCAAAAGGCTTTCTGTCCATCATCCGTTGAGTGTAAACAATTTATATTTTTGATGTTTCCTTTGACACCTGACCCTTTTTAATCCTACTATACACTGTCGTATAAATTGATCTTTAAAGGCTATATGTTACAGTATAAAGTGTGCAAAGAATCAGATAAGATTATATTGCATTACTCAATGCTGACATCTTGTAACTTTTGTGATGCTTCATTACTAATTTATATTAAGAAGAAAGATTGTTTTCTCGATTTAAGTTAATTTTGGAATGTAGAATCATCATATTTTGACTTATCTAAAAAAAAAAAATGTAGATTTTTGGAATCAGGTAATGAGTTATCTTAATTTATTGAACAAGATTTTTTGTATGCTTTCATAATTTTACAGCCATTCAGTGTACCTATACATGTACACTTAACTGATAGGCAATTAAAGCCTCTTTGGCCTTTTGTTATTTTACTTTTTGTAGAACTGAATAAGACAGTTAATTAGGCAAGCAATTTGTTTCAATAAATTTTAATTACAGTAATTAGTTACTGAAATATTTTTTTAAGCATTATTCATTAATTAGTCTTTGATTTACACATTTCTCTTGTTTTTAAACCATGCAAATCAAAATACACCCACAAACATGATAATGTTGATATCAACTACTGTATTCAAAATCAAAAATGAAATAGAATACAGGTAGGACAAAGTGTAAAGATTTCACAATGAAAAATGATTAACAAAACAGAGCATAGAAATGACTCAACATACCAGAGAAAAATCTTTAATGTTGAACAGATTGATTATTCTACTGGGTTGCTTGGTCAGAAATTCTAAAACCTGACGGCTAGAGAAGTAGATTATTTGATATGGCAAATAGATGGTCACAATACCAAAGAAATCTAATGAAAAGAATTTTAAACCAATTTTGCAGGGATGTACATGTATATATTGTTACATCATAAACATGTGTTCTAGAGAATAATGAAAATATAAGGCAATTTTGGATACACAGGAGAGTGGGCTATATATAAGGAGGAAACTTGCTTAAAATTACCATTCAGGAGCTTCAGTTTGAAAAGACCAGCTTTGCTGTTTTTGATCAATTCCAAATTAATCACTTTTCTCTGACATACATTTCGGTTCAATTTTCTGTGAAAGTTACTATCACATTGTTTTGAAATTTCTGATTGTTAGTTTCAGAATTATTCCCCTGAACACTTCGAAAAATCTGGTGATGCTCTTGATTGACTTGAAATTTATGCACATCATTCATGTTCTTGAGGTGAAGAAACCTATTGATTTTAAACAATTACTGATTATTACTTTCTGATTTCTTTCCCCTGACTACTTTTTAAAATCTTATTAATGGTTTAGTGGCAAATGTTACTATATCATTGGCATATAAAATTATTTTCTTAAGGATTGGAAAAGGATAGAAATATGGTTGTAAATTGTGTCATTCTGTCGTTTACAGGGAGCCACTATGGCTCAGTGAGTAAAACACTGGCTTGCAAGCCTATGAGATCGTGGGTTCGCTGCCGGTGTTGACTGAGAAAGTTCATCATGATTTTCCAACGTGGTGCAGGATGGAGAGCCTGACCAGAACAACTGTCTAGTCGTTCGAATTGAATGAAAAACAAGGTCCCGTTTACACATTGATATACACGTAAAAACAACCCTTGGCAGTTTGAATTCCGATTTAAAAGGGTGGCGGATGGCCAAATGTTTAATACCTGCACGTTGCATGGCAAGGTCAAGTGGTGTGGTTTTGATTCCCGGTTTGTACTTGACAAGGAGTAAGGTTGCATGTCCAACCACATGGGTTTTCTCCGGGTCCTCCGGTTTCTTCTCTCTGCTAAAAACCCCTATGCGCAAGTGAATAAATGAAATAGAATTGAACCATATGTTAGTCCTGAAATGACCTAGTTTGTGTCATTTGGATGTTAAACCCCATCTCTCACCTCTCTCTCTCTCTCTCTCTTAGAGTTAGCTGTAGCTCCGCTGTCCGGGCAAAGTTTCCCTCATAGCATACTGTATAGCATATACCCGTCTTAGCCCAGTTGGAGCAGAACACTAGGACATTAAACCCCATTTTATTTCATTTCTGTCATTTACATTTTTTTCTGCACACTCAACATGTTGAAATCAGACACAGTGTTTATGCTCATTCGACAAAGAGTTCAACATTTCAACATTGCCAATAATTCTGTTCCAAATTACTGCTCTTGATCGCTTTGAAAAATCTTCTGGGCACTCTAGAGGGTAAATGTATCTGGGGGTTTTTTATCATTGGTGTGTTTTGTTTATGCTTATGAGACAAGGCAGCTTAGTGATTATTTTCGATGATAAGTCTCACAGATGTTGCTCTTGCGGAAATTTCAGAGGCTGAAGTTAACATCCAGTCCACTTGCACTTTTAATGCAGTGGACGTTCATGGGATGAGGATTTCTATTGATTTTCAATGATTATTTTCAGTGTTATTGCCCTTATTTACTTTGAAAATTGTTGTAGTCAGTAGTCAATATGGCTAAACTTGAAATTTACGTGTTGTTTATGGTAGTACTATTAAGAAGGCAATCAGACGGTAACAATTTTAGTTGTTTACTTAAATGGGTTGACTGCTAGGATCATGTAAATGCTCTAGTTAGCTTTAAAAGAATCTCAATGTGACAACCTTTATTGACAGGTTTTACCACATAGTTGTTGTTAGCATATGTTTTGTTTCTTGTCTACCTATCTTTATGTGCCCAAATTAACGGCATGTCTTCTGTCACTGCAAAAAAAAAATCTCATGATTATTGATTTAAGTTGAACATACGAGGTAGCTGTATGTTAATGTCACAAATTGATGTTTACAAAATTCAGGATTAGCAAGGCCATATTTATTGATTTCTTATAGAACAGAAATGTTCTGAG